AGTAAAAAGTGCGAATATTTATGAGGAAACATTATATTGCTTTAAACAAAGACCAACATGTAACCGACCTCAAATTTTTGCACACTGTAAGATCAACCGGACGATTCGGCATATCGAGAGACAGGGCTCTTGCTCATCAAAACACGTATTTTTTAATATTTTTAACGCACGAAACTGAAGGTGAAAATCTGCTACGGGCGCCTGAAACGCTCAGGATAAGAACACTCTAAATACTGGGTCAAGCGCTCCCGGGGGGGCGTCACGGCCGGCCACGAAAGAGGGGGGAGGGGGGGGGGGGGGGGAGTGGGGGGGGGGGAGGGGAGGGGCGGGGCATGTCGCGGAGGGGCCACGAGCCAGGTCGCCGCGGGCCACCGCCCCGGGGTGCCGCTGACCCTAGTGACGCCACTGTCCCAAGGTACGTGCATTTCTTTCTACTCTTGTACTAAAAGAACAAACAAAACTTTAGCAGAATGATTCGTCGGCCTAGTTGGTTAAACATTACGAAAATAATAAAAAAGCGCAAAAGACAAGGACAAGAGGGAGACAACACAGGACAAGCGCTTGTCCTGTGTTGTGTCCCTCTTGTCCTTGCCTTTTGCGCTTTTTTAATTTTCGAAACAAAACTTGCTAGAAGCTTCGCTCTATGCGCTACCTAGCTTCCTACTGGAAAATAATTATCGCCAATGTGTTCCCTTTTTAATACCGCCCACTGTAAATGAGAGATCAGTAAAAGCACCACGCAGATTTTTTTTTTTAATTTTGTTCTATATTTCAATTAAATAAATATTTCCAACTAAAAACCTGCTTCTTACATTTTTCAATTACTTTCACAGTGCTGTAAAGTTACAGTTCTCAGTACTTTACACTCACAAGGTGCATACATTTTTCTCTATTCTCTCATTTACCCGTGCCATCAGCTCACGGCATTCGGATGTATATCCTCCATATCATGGCGCATCGTGCAGGCAAGAAGGGTCGAGCTTTTTATTACGCTGGAAATGTATTTTTGCTGCGCACCCCCCCCCCCCCCCCCCCCCCCCAAAAAAAAAAAAAAAAATATATATATATAAACGTCATTTTCATACCTTAATTGAACAAATGTAGTTCGGTTCAAATAAATGAGGTGAAATACACGACGGTACGACTTTTCTACGCATTTGCATGTGTAGCGCATTGCTGTTTTTTTCTTTCAGATTTTATGGGAAGTTGGAGAGGTATATATTGCCGCGCCCAGGGCTGAGAAAGCAACGCTCGGTCACGGACCTCCAGAAAGTTCTCGTTTATTCATGTACCGCATGTAACTTCTATCATTTATTCCTGCTTTTGTTTTCTAGAAAGTGCGTGTTCATTCTCGCCCGATCACGCGACGCTCGAGCCGCTTTCGCCGAATCTTCGAGATAGCGACGCACTCTAGATAAGAGGCCGCCCGCGACCTTGTCGAGTCAGTTTCGCCTCAGCGTTCGACCTTGCTGCTTCGCCGCCTTCGACGCCCGCGACGCTCTGTTGTTATTTTTCTATTTCCTTTTATTTTTGGCACAAGTTCGCCACATTAAACGTCTATTTCTTTCTGTGTATTTATTGTTTCTTTTGGTCACCACCCGTGACATTTTGGTGGAGGTGCGGGGTACCGCATGCCCCTGCCGCGTACCCCTCCGAGGGCCCGCAGTCCAAGTCCGACGCCTAGTCCACGAAGAACCAACGAAAGCACTTCCGAGATCCGGTTCAGTCGTCGCACCCAAGGCCTACACCCGGAATTCGGACCTCTGCCGCCCAAGACTAAGCAGCCAACGAGACCAACGATGGACAGCCAGTCGTCGCAGAACCCGTCCACCGCCAGCGTCGTCGTCCTGCCCGTCGCACCCCGGACTCCGACGCCTTTCCACGGGGAGATCCATGAAGACATCGAAGACTGGCTGCGACACTACGAACGTGTAGCCCGCCACAACGGATGGACGACTGAGCAGTGCCTCCACAACCTTTACTTCTCGCTTGAAGGCACTGCGAGGCACTGGTTTGAAAACCACGAAGCCTCCTTCCCCACATGGGAGTCCTGCGTCGCCGAACTCAAACGAACATTCATTAACCACCATCGTCGCCAGCGAGCAGAGGACCTGCTTCAAACAAGGGTGCAGGGCCCCAATGAATGCCTGACCAGCTTTGTAGAGGATGTTCTGCGTCTAAGTGCCCGAGCAGACCCGGAGGCCGCTGAGGAAAAGAAACTTCGAATCCTCATGCGAGGCGTCAAGGCAGAAATTTTTGGAGGCCTGGTTCGCAATCCCCCGACGACCGTCGATGCATTTGTGAGTGAAGCCACGAACATCGAGCGCGCACTGACGGCCCGAGCAAGCCACTACCACCGACTCGCCGGCGCGCCTACTTCTCCAACCGTCGCAGCTACACTTCCGGACCTGAGCACCACCGGTGTCGACAGCCTTCGGGATATCGTCCGGGATATCGTCCGGGAAGAGCTCCGGAAGATTCTACCTGCTGCAGATCGCCCAGCCTCACTCTCACTCGCCGACGTCGTCCGAGAGGAAGTTCACCGAGCTTTCCATCCCGAGGTTGCCGTCACCGCAGCAGCACAGCAGGAGCCAGCCGTAAGCTACGCCGAAATGCTCCGCCGAGCACCATCAGCACCGCGTCCGTACATGGCGCCTCCCGGACGTGTGCTTCCAGAGCCGCAGCATTCCCGACGCCAGGAAGATCGGGCACACGTTCGTCCAGAACAAGTTGCGCCAAGGAAGACCGACGTGTGGAGGACGGCTGATCGACGCCCGTTGTGCTACCACTGCGGGGAAGCCGACCATATCTACCGACGATGCCCCTACCGCCAGCTCGGCCTACGAGGGTTCGCGCCCAACGACCCTCGACCACGTCTTGGAGAGCGACCTCGGGACATCGAGGAATACCTCCGCCGCTCTTCAACTCCTGAGTCGTCTCCCCGCCGAGTATTCCGTTCGCCATCTCCCCGACGCTCGCCATCGCCCTTCCGCCGGTCTCGCCGAGACAGCCTGTCACCCATTGCGTCCCGTCGGGAAAACTAGGCGCGGCAATGCCGGGAGGTGGTGTTGCCGAAGACGAACGATGCCAAGATCCTCCAAGATCGTCGGAGCTCTCCCACTCTAACGCCGCAACGCCCCGAAACGACGTTTCTGTAACAGTGTCGAACAACCTCAACGTTATCATCGACGGCCACGACGCGACAGCACTTGTCGACACCGGAGCGGATTACTCCGTTTTGAGTGGGAGACTCTCTCGTCGCCTTCGGAAAGTTACGACGTCGTGGGATGGACCACAGATACGAACCGCCGGCGGACACCTCATCACGCCTGTCGGCAGGTGCACTGCTCGCGTTGAGATCCATGGTGAAACCTGCCCTGTCAAGTTCGTCGTTCTGCAAGACTGTTCGAGAGACGTCATTCTCGGAATGGACTTTTTGTGTGAATACGGCGCCATCATCGACCTTGGGGAGAACAAGCTGACGCTTCGGAAACCTGTTCCCTCGGCGGAAGATCCCAAAGCGACGTTAGCTGCAGTGCGAGTCCTTACCAGCCACGTAAACCTGCCGCCGCTGTCCAGTGTCTTTGTCCCCGTCGGGACCGACGAAGCCACCTGCGGGATAGCACTGTTGGAAGGAAGCGTCCAACTTCTCGTTGGACGAGGGATTGGTATTGCAAGAGGCGTAACCGAGCTCCAGGACGGGCGTACCGTAGCCCTTGTCACCAACTTCCGGCAAGAGTCGCAGCACCTTACAAAGGGTACAGCTGTGGGCTACGTCGAGGAAATTCAGGACTCGGCCGCCATCGCCGTGATCTCAGAAGACGCCTCTCCGACGCAGAACAAGACAATCACGTCCGCAGAGCTCGACATCGACCCATCCCTCCCAGCCCCACAACGGCGACAACTTCGTGACCTTCTCGCCGAGTTCAGTGAGTGCTTCTCCACGTCGTCGAAAGTGCGCCAAACGACGGTTGCGAAACATCGGATAATTACTGATGACGACGCACTCCCTGTGCATCGGCCGCCGTACAGGGTCTCCGTGAAAGAAAGGGAAGCCATCCAGCAGCAGGTACAAGAAATGCTTGACGGCGACATTATCCAGCCCTCAAGCAGTCCGTGGGCTTCACCGGTAGTCCTGGTGAAAAAGAAAGACGGGACTCTTCGGTTCTGCGTGGACTATCGCCGACTGAACGCCGTAACAAAAAAGGACGTCTACCCACTGCCACGCATCGACGACACCCTGGACCGACTACGCCACGCCCGATACTTTTCGTCGATGGACTTGAAGAGCGGGTACTGGCAGATTGAGGTCGACGAACGAGATCGTGAGAAGACGGCCTTCGTCACGCCGGACGGACTGTATGAGTTTAAAGTAATGCCATTCGGGCTGTGCACAGCGCCGGCAACCTTCCAGCGCGTTATGGACACCGTCCTTGCCGGCTTGAAATGGCAAAGCTGTCTCGTCTACCTCGACGATGTTGTGGTCTTCGCAAGCGAATTCGACGAGCACCTGAGACGACTGCGAGCCGTTCTACAGGCCTTCAAAGCTGCTGGGCTGACCCTCAAGCCTTCCAAGTGTCGGTTCGCCTATGGTGAGCTCAAATTCTTGGGCCACGTCGTGAGTGCTCAGGGTGTAAGCCCTGATCCCGCCAAGACGTCCGCTGTCGCCGAGTTCCCGAAGCCATCGGACAAGAAGACCGTTCGAAGATTCCTTGGGCTGTGCGCCTATTACAGACGTTTCGTTCGTGATTTTGCGCAAATTTCTGCACCGCTGACGCATCTGACGAAAGACGACGTGCAGTTCCAGTGGGGAGAGGAGCAAGAGCAAGCGTTCGACGAACTCAAGCGAAGGCTCCAGTCGCCCCCTATCCTCGGACATTTTGACCAGTCGGCGGAGACTGAAATCCACACGGACGCCAGCAATACCGGTCTCGGTGCGGTACTCGTTCAGCGACAAGAAGGGGCAGAGAGAGTAATCGCTTACGCAAGCCGGGCGCTGTCTAAGGCAGAACAAAATTATTCAACGACCGACAAAGAATGTCTTGCTGTCGTCTGGGCGATAACCAAGTTCCGCCCGTACTTGTACGGGATCCCGTTTCGCGTGGTCACAGACCACCACGCCCTCTGCTGGCTCGCAAACCTCAAGGATCCGTCCGGACGCCTCGCCCGCTGGAGCCTTCGACTGCAGGAATTCGACGTAACCATTGTGCATAAGTCCGGCCGCAAGCATAATGACGCTGACTGTTTGTCTAGGGCTCCAGTCGAACCTCCAATCTCCGGCGCGGACGACGATGACGACGCCCGTTTTCTAGGCGCAGTTGACGCTACCGACATGAGGGCACTGCAACGCGACGACGCGGAACTTAGCTCCGTGATCGACAGCCTCGAAGGTCGAGGAGGCTCTGTCCCACGGGTCTTTTCTCGGGACCTACCGAGCTTTGTCCTGCGGCGAGGCGTGCTCTTCAGAAAGAATTTCGGAACCAGCGAAACCCCCTGGCTACTGGTTGTCCCCGCCAGCCTCCGAGAAGAAATTTTTCAAGCGTGCCACGACGACCCAACGGCCGGACATCTCGGCTACAGCAGGACCCTTGCCCGGATTCGTGACAAGTACTACTGGCCAAAGCTTCCGAAGACCGTCCATCTCTACACACGATCGTGCCATGAGTGCCAGCGACGCAAGAAACCACCGTCAAAGCCAGCAGGTCTCCTTCAGCCGATTACCCCGCCAACCAAGCCCTTCCAGCAAATTGGAATGGATTTGCTGGGTCCTTTTCCACCGTCGACGATGGGGAACCGCTGGATAATCGTCGCCACCGATTATCTTACTCGTTACGCCGAGACGAAAGCCCTTCCTTCGGGGACTGCTGTCGAAGTCGCCAAGTTCTTCATCGAGTCCATCGTCCTCCGCCATGGCGCCCCCGAAGTACTGATCACAGACCGAGGGTCATCGTTTATGGCACAGTTGACCCAAGAGATCCTGCGTTTAAGCCACACGGAACACCGTCGAACAACGGCATACCATCCGCAGACCAACGGGTTGACGGAGCGGCTCAACAAAACAATCGCCGACATGGTCTCTATGTACGTCGACGTGGAGCACAAGACCTGGGACGAAGTGCTGCCCTACGTCACGTTCGCCTACAACACAGCAGTGCAAGAGACCACAGGAGTGACGCCCTTCCAGCTGGTGTATGGCCGGGCGGTGACGACTATGCTAGACTCTATGCTGCCGCACGAGTCAGTCAACGACGGGAGCGATGACGCCCAGGTGGTTGCTCAACGGGCAGAAGAGGTCCGCCAGCTAGTCAGACTACGAATTCAAGACCAGCAACATGTCGACGCTCGCCGGTATAATCTTCGTCGCCGCGACGTCCACTTCCAGCCCGGAGACAGAGTTTGGGTGTGGACGCCGATTCGTCGTCGCGGTCTCAGCGAAAAACTCCTGAAGCGCTACTTTGGGCCCTACAAGATCATCCGACGCCTCGGCGATCTGAACTACGAAGTTCTACCCGACGGAACGCGCCCATCTGCAAGACGTCAGCCGCGACCCGAGGTGGTGCATGTCGTCCGGCTGAAGCCGTATTACGAACGATAGGACTCTCCACTCTCGTCGACGAGCGAACTGTGGACTGTGAACTCCGGCTAGCAATTCTGCTGTCCTTTTGTTTTTTGTTTTCCGTTTTTGTGCTGCATCGGGACGATTCACTTTTAAAGGGGGGGATAATGCCGCGCCCAGGGCTGAGAAAGCAACGCTCGGTCACGGACCTCCAGAAAGTTCTCGTTTATTCATGTACCGCATGTAACTTCTATCATTTATTCCTGCTTTTGTTTTCTAGAAAGTGCGTGTTCATTCTCGCCCGATCACGCGACGCTCGAGCCGCTTTCGCCGAATCTTCGAGATAGCGACGCACTCTAGATAAGAGGCCGCCCGCGACCTTGTCGAGTCAGTTTCGCCTCAGCGTTCGACCTTGCTGCTTCGCCGCCTTCGACGCCCGCGACGCTCTGTTGTTATTTTTCTATTTCCTTTTATTTTTGGCACAAGTTCGCCACATTAAACGTCTATTTCTTTCTGTGTATTTATTGTTTCTTTTGGTCACCACCCGTGACAATATGGCTGCAGAATCTACTTACGATCCTTTTTCATCGGGTACGTTGAGACCACTCGCATCCGGTTGGTCTTTTGTCCCCACGATGAAGTGTGCGTCTGAAGATTGAAAGAAATGTTCATTGTTAGAAATAAGTACACGAATGGATGTTCTTTTTCACTCGATTCAATTCCTGTCGCAGCTCACATTTTCACTTTCGGAACAAAGACAGTAAGACAACTGAATTGATGCAGCAACTGATTTAGCGGGGAATACTGGGCTTGTTCATGCAGGTGATGAACGAGGTGTTTCAGCTCCTCGGACACCTTGTGCAACTACGTTTCTGGACGCTGGCGCCATCTGGGGGGATAATGACTGGGACTAATTACTACGCCACGGGCTACAAACCACGAAATTACGAAAGGGCAGCGTATAGTTGTTTCTTCACGGAGTAAATCCATGGGGCGAATTTGGGGCTCCGTATTGCTCGTTTTTCAAGGACACCACTAACGCGCTGCGACAGCTTTCTTTTGTGAGTCCTCACCATCCCCTTGTTTACGCGGTACAGGGAGAGCGAGAGAGAGAGAGAGAGAGTTGGGTAAACAGCCGCTGGTGTTTCACGCGTACAGGGATGCCGTCTCGTAGATAATGCCACCTCGGAAATTCGCTTGGCTTTAGGGCACTCCATGGTACGTGAACGCAGCTTGGTTCCCTCGGATTATAACGGAACGCTATATTGTGGGTGTTTTGCAGCGCATGCTCAGAACTAGAGTCACCGACAGCTTCAGGAACGCAGGGTGTGACGAGCTCGATCCGTGCATCTTATCCTTTCGAACAATAAGGTTGTGGCCGACAGAGTCGCCGCGAAGAGCGAATTCCAAAGCAAGACGCCTTAAAATAATTTCTTCAAGAAACACTGCAATGAAACATTTCCTTTTTTAAACACTTATGCTAAAAAAAAAAAAAAAAAAATAATAGCAGAATTTTTTTTTTTTCCTTTGACAATTTTTTCGCCGCTAGGCGCAATTTAGGTGCAGAATGTGGAGGTCGCAGCCCGCTATAGCTCTGCCCCGTGCATACAAGGTGCTTACATCTGTCATCGATGGAAAAATGATTGACGTGGGAAAAATTGGTTGTCAATTTCTATCTCCGTGCCATAATAGTATCTTAATCGACTATTTTTTTTATGTTTGAGAAGCAACTAATCAAGATAGAATCATTATTGTTTTCGAAAATATCCCGAGATTGCCTTTCCGCCTCGGTTTCAAACGATAACAAACATGGCTGACGGCGTCTGCTGAGCGCTGAACGTGCGTAGCTCGATGAGCTCGTCAATTTTAATGAGTGCGGGTCGTTTTGGGTTAACAGAGGTATTTAGAGGAAGATCTCATTGATCGACATAGGTCGCAGCAAACGACTGTCGCAATACGCGCCTTTGGAAGCGGTGTGCGGAGGCTTGTTTTTGTAGCGGTACCGACCTAAGCCTAGCGTCCCGTATTCACTATTTCGTGAATACGGGCGAGCGTACTTTATAGTACGCTCCAAGCCTGGCGTCTGCTCTTGGTTGGATCGTTTTAGTTTGGCTCTACATCTAACTGTCTCGAAACGCTGATTGTTTTTCCCGTGCATCGTCTGAACCATGGTGGGCGTTGATGCATTATCTCGTGACGAGTGATTATCTTACTCCGATCTTTGATTCCACCAAGTCGTCAAGCACAAAAAGCATAGGGATGCAGGCTTTGGGTTCGATCAATTTGGCGGAATAAAAACATCGAGTTGCGCTTTAGAAACGTCGCGCTCGTGCGTTTCGTTTCGTACGCACTTGCGATGAAACGGAGTGTAAAGGCTGGTTCACACATTTGCAACGGTTGCGTTCGCATGCAACCGAAACGACTGTAACGACAAAGTCACCGGGACAAGTGTTCGCCGTACACAGCATGGCAAGCGATGCAAAGAGGTAGCTTCGCGAAGCCATCCATGAGTCACGGTTTTTACGGTGTTTTGGTCGTTACGGTCGTTTTGGTTGCATGCGAACGCAACCATTGCAAATGTGTGAACCAGCCTTAGCGCGCGCACTCACGCTGAGAGTTGCCACAGCGCGTGTACTTAGCATACACTGGAGACACTGGATCAACAAGGCGGTAAGTTGGGCTAGTTGGTTTAACATCGTCAAACGTGAAAACAGCGCAAAAAATTTAACAAAGGACAAGTGAAAGAAGTGCACGGACAAAGCGCTGACTGTCAACTAAAGTTAAATTTTCAGGCGACCCAGAAAAATAAACACAGAGCATAGGAAAGAACCAATAAAGACACAAACAAAATTATACAACCCAACCGATAGGATTTCTACCACGTCATCACCCTCACACGTGCCTGCCATTCTCCCTGATAAAAAGGACCTCATCATCCCCCAAGTGCACCGACGGTGCGCTCACACATTCCCCTTCCCCTTTAGATAAAATGAAAAATGCCTCTTCAATCTCTCTGGCGGTCTTACTTTTATTACGCGCCAAGATCGTCAAGTCATGAAAAACAGGTACACAGCCACACCTACTGCAATGTACCGCTAAGTGGCCAGTGGGGGAGGAACGGAGAGAAAGGGAATGCTCCCTCGCCCTCACGTTCACGCACCTCCCCGTTTGCCCAATGTACACCCTACCACATGTGAAGGGGATCTGATACACAACCCCCACTGCGCATGGTACAAAAGGAGTGCGGTGGTTGACATCACATTGCAAATCACTGTTCCTCCCTCGGTTGACAGCAGTGCACAGACGTGACAGCTTCTGGGGCGCTGAAAACACCACTGGCACGTTAAACTTATGCGCCACTCGCTTGACCTGATGAGAGAGGGCGTGGAGAGAGGACGATCTTGGCGCGTAATAAAAGTAAGACCGCTAGAGAGATTGAAGAGGCATTTTTCATTTTATCTGAAGGGGAAGGGGAATGTGTGAGCGCACCGTCGGTGCACTTGGGGGATGATGAGGTCCTTTTTATAAGGGAGAATGGCAGGCACGTGTGAGGGTGATGACGTGGTAGAAATCCTGTCGGTTGGGTTGTATAATGTTTTGTGTCTTGATTGGTTCTTTCCTATGCTCTGTGTTTATTTTTCTGGGTCGCCTGAAAATTAAACTTTAGTTGACAGTCAGCGCTTTGTCCGTGCACTTCTTTCACTTGTCTGTCCTTTGTTCAATTTTTTGCGCTGTTTTCACGTTTGAAGACACTGGATCCCGGGAAAGTAGCGTGACTGCCTTCCCCGTGCCTGCTGACCGGACACAAACAGATACTAACATACAGACGACCGAAATCTCGCAAGGTGATCGGTTAATCGGCCTCAGTTGTCATTACAATCGTCATTTCGGTCCATTTAAATCTTCTAAGATTCGGAATGGTCGTTCTAAACCAGACGCGCCAAGATCGTTTTCGAGCATCATCGCACTGAAAGCGTTTCTCGCCAATATCAGCATCTTGTGGGCACGGCGACTCCGTCAAGAACATGCATCTAACCAAAAACTGGTTTTCTGTACAGGCTTCCCTTCTACTCAGCTTCGCTGCGTCAGCGGTCAAGTGCTGTGATCAACCTTCAACGATTTTCGCTCCGTTCTATGCTCCGGTATCGAATCCTGGTCAGCATCTGCTATTTGTGGAAGTCGTGGCACACGTGGGCCTATCATCGTCACACACAGCGAAGTCTACAAAGGAGCGTCCCCGACAGTTCCAGTTCAGTGGGCACGGCGACACCGTCAAAGACATGCATCTAACCAAATACTGGTTTTTTTTACAGGTTAATTAGTACCCATAAGACATGTTTCCTGAGTAGTAATAGGTTTATTGTGATTGTACCGTGCCCACGGACCCTTTGTTGTATTGCACTTGAGTGTCTTGATGATTGCAAATCTTTAATCTGCAGTGATGTTGAATCCAATCCTGGCCCAACCGTAGAGGAAATGTTCCTAACACTGATGAAGGGCCAAAACGTGATTAAAAATGACCTCCTCGAAATGAAAACAACAAAATACAAGGTTTGCAGAAACTGGTTACCTATTGGATGACCTTAAAGCAAAGACTAACCAGATGTCCTTCAAGCGGCAGTTGCGTCATTGCAAGAAACCGAATTCGAAAAGAATGACAAGCTAACATATTTTGAAGATAGAAATCGTCGCTCAAATCTGGTTGTCTTCGTCCTTCCTGAATCACCTAGTGAAACGGAGGTCTAATTAAGAACTGGAGTGATTGAAGATTTATTTCGAGTAAAGCTTGGAGTGCCTTGCTTATTTGTTGCTAAAATCTATCGGCTCTGAAAAAATAATGAAAAAATGCCCCGTGATATTGTTTTTTCAGGGCTACATCGAAAAAGAAAACGTACTTCGTGATGCAAAAAAAAACAAAAAAACTAAAAGGATCATTTATATTTATTCAGAATGATTATTCGCAAGCCATGCTGTTCAAACTAAAAATACTATGAAATAGTGCTGCAGGTGATAAGCAATGGAGCCTAAAAGCGTTCGTCGTCCATGATAACCTACGAGTGGGCGCTAATCTTTAAGCATGTGATGAGGTCAAGAATGTGCGTGTTTGCTATCGACTACAAATCCCGATCAGCCGCTAACCGTTGTCTACCTACACTCCACATTATTGAATGACACACCTGCACCATGATGTGAGAACCACTTTTGAGGCAATTAAAACGAATTAATTTAACTGCTCAAAGTCTTGTTAATAAGGTAACCAACCTTGAACAGGTATTAGTTGAGTATGACCCAGACTTCGTGACCATAACAGAAACGTGGCTGCATACTGTAGTAACCGATAGTGAAATGTTACCTCCTGGTTATAATATTGTACGTTGCGATCGTTACGCGAGGGGAGGATGCGTTGGTCTCATAATAAAAAGCAGCTTCAGTTTTCAAGGGCTTAAAAATTACCCGAGGTCGAATCTGTGTTCGTTAAGATTACCTACTCTAACCCTCCACTGATTATTGGTGTGGTATACCGCCCACCTAATGCCCCTGGATTCATCCTAGAGTATCTTAACGATTATGTTTATCAATTTGCTCAAAAATGCAAATGCTTCATTTTAACTGGCGATTTTAATCTGCCATTAATTGAGTGGGAATCA